TTGAGATGTTGGGAATGGTATTAATATTGCTTTCGTTTTCAAGAAAAGATAAAGGAATTTGATGTTATGTAGAGCTTGGAACGCAGTAATTATATCACGTTTATATCTTAACTTTGCCAGAAAGTTAGTGATATTGATATCTAAAGTTGCGGTCTTTGCAATTTTGAATCTATTACCTTAGGTAGTTTGGTCATTGGTAGAAATTTGTAGACTGTTTTTCGTTTTGCAGACGCAAATTAAATGTAAGTGGGATCTCTTAGCTAGTTAGTGCTTTTCATTGTTCTCTTAAATATTCATTGTTTTAAACATCCTAACGTGCATTAGTTTCTAACTACAAATCTTTAAAATGCAATTATTTTATTTTATTTTCTCAAAATCATCTTTAGAAATGTATGTTATTCACACGTCGTAATGTAATCTTATCACTGTTGAAACCTTTTCTAATGACGACTTCCAAACTCTTGATAACGACAAATGTCATCAATACCAAAAGACATTTTCGCTATAGCATAGCTTGTGTCCTTTTTTTTCTTGTACAGATGTATATTTTGTGTGATTTTGAGAACATGTATCTTTTTTTTTTTTTTTTTTTGAGGAACATGAATTTAAATTTAACCTACCCAAAAAAAAATTAGGTGCATATTATTCCTTCTATATTTACCAAAATAACTTAGTTTTAAGATCTCAATTATTCTCTTAGAAGATTTCATATCATTGGTGCTGGTCGTACTGTGTTTACATGTGTTTGGTAAGAAGGAAGGATAGAAAGATGAAAGAATGCATGAGTGAAGAACGTGGAAGGATTTTGAAAGTTTCTTAAAATTTGTTTAGTATGCTATGAGAATGATAAATTGGGCAATGCTTTTTATTGAGCAAGAATATTTAAGTGAAAAATATTTTAAACAGAACACAATTTCACTTATTATAAAATTTAGAAGCATAGAATTTTATGGTCTTTAGTTGCAACGAGATAAAAATTATAAGAATAACCTTTCAATTGCAATCTCTTAGTATAAGGGAAAAATCTTTGATTTAAATTATAAAATATGAAACTTATTTGTATTAATTTTAGGGGGAATTGGGATTGGTTTTAATTGTATATAAGATCGGTAAATTTAATCGTGCTGCCTACATGTCTCATTGGAAGATCAAACCACAAGTAGTTCAAAAATTGAATTTGAAAATTTAGATTTAGAAAATTTCAAGGTGAGTAACTTTAAGTGGAATTGAAAGATTTTTAAAATTTTAAAACATTTTAAGGCTATAGACCTTCCCATATGTGGAATTGAAAGGACTTTTTAAAATTCAATTTTGGTAATTCTTGTTAATTAAGAGATTCATTTCAGGCTTGCTACTGTGTTACTTGTATTTCTAGGATACTTACATATCCGTTTGTTGAATCGAGTGAATATAGTTTAGGGGAGTTTGATTGTGTTATTTGGATAATTCACTTGTAAACAACCTTATCTGGAATGAAAAGAGCTTTTTGAAATTTGTTTTGGAGTTTGTTTTTTATTTGGGTTTTTTGTTTGATTTGGCCACTGTGAACAACCTTAAGTGTTATTTAAAAAGGGATGTTGGAACTTGTATATGAGAATTGAGGTTGCATATAGTATCCAAGTAGAATCAAGTCAAATTAGTTCTTAATTTTGAGTTTGCATTTGGAAAATTCCATAGTGGATGACCGTACGCATGTGAAATTAGGACATTTTTTAAAATTTGGTAGCGAGGTTACCAACACATCCGGAAAAAAATCAAGTGAACACTTCCATTTTGAGTTTTCACTTTCTTTTTCTTCGAAAAGCCTTGTTTAAAGACTTCTCTTTCTGTATTTTGGGATTTGAAATCCTTTACTTTGTAGAAAAAACAAAAAATACGCTCAAGATGATAAAAAAAAATTAGAAACAAGAGCTTCCTTAGGTTTGCATGGGCTCTCAATGTCATAATAATCTTTAAAAAAAAAGAAGAGAAAATTATTGAATTTATCTTTAAAGTACATAGATCTGTATTTTTACACATTACTCTTAATTAATACATTTTTTATTAATATAGTTATTTAACTAAAAAAGATATTAATTAAGAGTAAGGATTAAAATTTAGACTCGTGCATTCTAAAAGGTATTTGTATCATTTTCCTTTAAGAAAAGTAGACGATTTGTCATGGTTTTGTGAAGGCGTATTATTTATGTCATTTTAAATAATTAAATATCGTTCTGATCTTTTATTTTCTCTTAATTAATTAAATAATAATTATTTATTTTTTTAGTAGAGTGACATAAATAATATTTTTTTACTAAGGGGTATTGCTGATTTTTTCCCGTAATCTTTGTAATGTTCATCTTGGTCACAATTTTGCCGGTTTTAATGATAACCCATCAGGTTACTTCTTTGTCAATTAATATTTTGAAAATGTATAATATAGCGGAGGCCTTAAAAAGCTGAAGATCTTCACCTGCTCTTTTGTTAGAGTTTGTTCTTTTGTCTTATGTGTAGCACGTTGTGTTAGCTTCAAAATTGACTGCCCAGTCAGTGGAAAACGTATGCTGTTTCTGACTGCACTGTCAATTGAAACGACATGCAGTTTTGGTGTAAAAATTGTCTTATATAAATATATATATATATATATATTCAATTTTGGTAATTCTTGTTAATTAAGAGATTCATTTCAGGCTTGCTACTGTGTTACTTGTATTTCTAGGATACTTACATATCCGTTTGTTGAATCGAGTGAATATAGTTTAGGGGAGTTTGATTGTGTTATTTGGATAATTCACTTGTAAACAACCTTATCTGGAATGAAAAGAGCTTTTTGAAATTTGTTTTGGAGTTTGTTTTTTATTTGGGTTTTTTGTTTGATTTGGCCACTGTGAACAACCTTAAGTGTTATTTAAAAAGGGATGTTGGAACTTGTATATGAGAATTGAGGTTGCATATAGTATCCAAGTAGAATCAAGTCAAATTAGTTCTTAATTTTGAGTTTGCATTTGGAAAATTCCATAGTGGATGACCGTACGCATGTGAAATTAGGACATTTTTTAAAATTTGGTAGCGAGGTTACCAACACATCCGGAAAAAAATCAAGTGAACACTTCCATTTTGAGTTTTCACTTTCTTTTTCTTCGAAAAGCCTTGTTTAAAGACTTCTCTTTCTGTATTTTGGGATTTGAAATCCTTTACTTTGTAGAAAAAACAAAAAATACGCTCAAGATGATAAAAAAAAATTAGAAACAAGAGCTTCCTTAGGTTTGCATGGGCTCTCAATGTCATAATAATCTTTAAAAAAAAAGAAGAGAAAATTATTGAATTTATCTTTAAAGTACATAGATCTGTATTTTTACACATTACTCTTAATTAATACATTTTTTATTAATATAGTTATTTAACTAAAAAAGATATTAATTAAGAGTAAGGATTAAAATTTAGACTCGTGCATTCTAAAAGGTATTTGTATCATTTTCCTTTAAGAAAAGTAGACGATTTGTCATGGTTTTGTGAAGGCGTATTATTTATGTCATTTTAAATAATTAAATATCGTTCTGATCTTTTATTTTCTCTTAATTAATTAAATAATAATTATTTATTTTTTTAGTAGAGTGACATAAATAATATTTTTTTACTAAGGGGTATTGCTGATTTTTTCCCGTAATCTTTGTAATGTTCATCTTGGTCACAATTTTGCCGGTTTTAATGATAACCCATCAGGTTACTTCTTTGTCAATTAATATTTTGAAAATGTATAATATAGCGGAGGCCTTAAAAAGCTGAAGATCTTCACCTGCTCTTTTGTTAGAGTTTGTTCTTTTGTCTTATGTGTAGCACGTTGTGTTAGCTTCAAAATTGACTGCCCAGTCAGTGGAAAACGTATGCTGTTTCTGACTGCACTGTCAATTGAAACGACATGCAGTTTTGGTGTAAAAATTGTCTTATATAAATATATATATATATATATATATATATATTTCCAATGATACACGATAGTTGTTAGGATAAATTTTAAGAATTCTTCTTGAATTATGTCACTTGTGTCAATATATCTCAAACTTTAAAATTAACTCATGAATTATAATACTTCTTTAGATTTACTCCTCAACTTTAAAACGTGTTTTTTTTTTTTTAATGGAGTTGTGTAGTTGTCATTTGGTTTAAGTTTAGGCCCAACATTTAAGAGCTAATTTATGCTTTTCACTCCAAATAGATTAGTCAGGGGTTAAATTTTAGATGTATTTCTCCTCGGAATAGTTGCTCAAAAGCGAGAAAATAAGAGGGAAAAAAAAGTAGAGAATGGACCCGAATTCAATTAGGTTAGTACAGAGTTCGAAGAAATTGATAAATTTGACATTCTTATGTGTGTTATATATATGCTAGTGTGCTTAAAAAATAGCTCGTAAGTTGAGGAGATAAATTTCAATAAGTATTATAATTCAGAAAGCACGTTTTAAAATTCAAGAGTCAAGTTGACACAGTAGTATTAGTTTAAGGGGAATTTGTATCTCTCCACTTTTTCCTTGTACAATTATAGTAAAATTTTTGTTAAAAAAAATGATAGCAAATATGGCAGATATGTCAATGTATTATGATGTTAATTTAAAAAAAAAAAAGAAAAAAAAAATGAAAAGTCCCACGTCGGAAAAGGATCAATTGATTCAACTCTTTATATACATTCCACTGTCTCCATTTGACACCGAGCTTTGTAACGGCGCTCGGTGGCCGGCGCGGGTTGGTCTGTGTGGAAGCAGTCGCTGAGCCACTGCTGGCCAAGCACCGGCAGGACTGACTAAGATTTCACCCTGCCCTGTTTGTACTGTAATAGATGTTATATGTTTCTCAATAAGTCAAGATTCGGCTAAAAGTGCTGTAATTTTACAGCAGACATATAATGCTGCCACAAGAATTTATTGTTCTTTCTTGTTCAGAAATTACATTTTAACCTCTCCCCCCCCACCCAAAAAAAAAAAAAAAAAAAAAAAAAAAAAAAAAAAAAAAAAAAAAAAAAACCAAGAACTAGATTTCCAATATTCCACTTTACATGCACAAGGAGTTAAAACAGGCGAATACAACTAAACATGTAAATATCTGCATGAGCACCCCTTCCCTCTTTCCTCTGGCTATTTCAAGCCATTCATGTTAGTTCCATGAGCAAAAAATTCTAAACCACTGCTTTTTCCTCTCCAAATAGGTAAAAGACAAACATCAAACACCATTGGTCCAGCTTCAATCATTCCTCTCCTTCTTCCCTCTCCCTAGGAACAGCCCCAAAATGATTGACCAAAATGTCCACAACCAAGGGCACTAAGTCCTTGCAAGGGACACCCTTTTTGTAAACTTGTCCCAAGTGTGAGTCACTCCCAATTCTCCCTCCCAAGAACACATCTGCTCCTTCAACAACCTTGCCATTCTCATTCTTTGTCATGCACCCCATGAACCCGATATCCGCAACCTGAACCTGCCCGCAGGTGTTTGGGCACCCCGTCCAGTGCATCCGCACCGGACGAGTCACTGCCACTAGCCTCTCCACCTCCTCAGTCACCTTCAAGGCCCTGGCCTTGGTCTCGATGATGGCCTGGCCGCAAAACTGGTTGCCCGTGCAGGCCACCAAGCCCTTCATGAGAAGGGGGGGCTCGGGGGAGAACCTGTCCTTCAGAAGAGGCTCTTTGAGCAGTGCTTCGATTTTTGAGTTCTCGACGTTGGGAATTATGATGTTTTGCTCCACAGTGAGGCGGAGTTCCCCTCTGCCATACTCTTCAGCTAAACGAGCTAGCTCATCCATGTCGTCTGCTTGAACACGCCCAACTGGAATGTGCAGGCCAACATAGCTAAGCCCTTCTTGTTTTTGTGGATGAACACCTAGATAATCTCTCCTCTCCCATTGTTTATCAACCAGATCTTCAGAAGATGCTCTCTCTAGACTTTTCCCGGGCATTCTCTTCACTACTTCTGCTCTGAATCCTTCTATCCCCTGCCATTACAATATAAAATTTGGATAAGTCATTGCACACTCGAGTTCTTTTTAGGTTGCTATGACCTTAAAAACTACAAAACCATGATTTCGAAAAAGGGGTTTAGATTCTTAAGAAGAGTTTGTTAAGAGGAATGAAATGAACATAAGGTTCATAAATCTTCAGACTCACAAGTTCATCGATCAACCACATCATTCTCGTCTTTTGTCGGTTGCCTCTGTTGCCAAGATCCCTAAAGGCCTCTAGTACGGCTCTGCAAACTGGGATCACATCATCTGTAGACACCCAGGCATCAAGAGGGATCGCCTCTTCACACCGTTTAGGACTGAAGAAGCCTCCAACAAGCAAATTGAATCCAAATCGTCCATCTTTTGTGGCGGGCATGTAAGCAAGATCATTGATGTGAGGGTGCTCATAAAGATCATGAGAGCCAATTACACACACATTCCACTTCCTTGGCCTGCATAATAAGTATTATCAACATCAATAGGGCTAAAAAAACATATTACTCCTCTTCATGCATAATTTTTTAGGATGTAAATTTCTCGGATTCACGAAATAAAACTCTAGCCCACCAAGCTCAAAATTGATAATTCCAAAATCGCTTGTAACATCAACAAAGCTAATTTCATAAATTCTCTTATAAACCATTACAAAATATGCAGTTTCTAACTATGCCACCAAAAATACCAACACCTAATAAATTTCCAGGCAATCAAGTGTATAAAGCTACAACCAACAATTCAAATTGAAACAAAGTACTAGAAAACAGTTACTCCATGAAAATCCTCATTATAAGGAAAAAGAGAATACATACAAGTTTGTAATGATTGGATTGCCGCGCGAGTTGGCGGTGATGAATTGGGATAACAAGTTTGTATAAGGTCTTGTGTCAACAATCTCATGAGGGTCAATGCCTGCAAGAGGATTACCAACCGGGTTTCTCACATTGTCCATACCACTCTGCAGGCTTGTCAACCCAACTTCGGCCAGACCCTTCAGTATTTCCGGAACATCAGGCAACACCACTCCACGAATTTGCCAATTTTGCCTAGTTGTCACATCTGTACAACCGTCCTTTCCATATTTTCTTATAACACTAGCAAGGTATCTTGTTTGAGCACTTGTAGTGACCCCATTTGGTAGCTTCAACCTCATCATAAATCTACCATCTGATCAGCATCATAAAACAGGAAATTCCATTAGGGACAAAACGTGAACAGAAATCAATCTTAAAAAAAAAAAGGCTAAACATCACTAATTGTGAATTCACAGTTTGTTTTTCAATTGATTGAAAAGTTTTCATGTAAAATTACGTGGTCCAATGTCATGGATCGAGAACTCAAATTTGACATGTGAATTTGTGATTACTTAAGAAGCAAGTCAATTCATGATGAGGCCTCTGCAAAAATTTGTACTTAATAAGAAAGAGTAATGTAAAATTGTAAGCCTGGGTGTTATAGATCCATAGTTAACACGTGAATATATATGTGATTCTTAAGACAATTATAAATGATAATTGACTGATCCAAAAGTAAACCAATTTCATAACCAAACAATTTTTTTATTAAAAAAAAAAGATCACCTCATCATTCTCCGTAATTAACAGAAAATGAGTGACAACAAGCCAGGCAAATCCAACTATCCAAAGTTTAAAAAATATATATATGTGTGTGTATTCATCTATATATATATATATATATATATATATATTTGTGGGGGTCAAAGTTGAAACATAAACTTACATTGATGCTTTCTCCGGTGAAAAAGACCAAGCCATTTAAGCCTGACATCAATATCATTCTTGGCAGCCTTATGGCTGTCAATCTCCTCCATAGACATCTTGGAGAGCTCCTCAATCCCATTCTCCATGAAAAGCTTCATGGGCTCTTTCTCAAGCTTCACTTTCTCGTGAGGATTAAGTCCTTGTCTGAACTTCTCCTTCAACACCCAGTACCCATCTCTCTCCTCCACTCTCGGCTCCAGCCTCCCGGCGTCCACCGCCACCGCTGTCGCCGGAGCCACCGCCGGAGTTGTTGTGGCGTTGAGCCTTGTCTTGTTTGAAGAAGAAGATAAAGGGATTGAAAGAAGCCGAACAGAGAGAGATGACATGGTGGTAAACAAGATTGAGAATTTGAGATGAAAATGGTTTTTTTGGTTTTGGTTTTGGTTTTGGTTTGGTTTGGCAAGAGAAAATGGTGTGAAGGTTTTTCATTTTTGTAGGCAAAGAGATGAGAAGAAGAAGAGAGCAAAAGAGACTCTTGGGTGGTTCTAAAGGTCACCTCTTTTTGGCTTAGCAAAGGTTGATTTATTATCTTATTCACATTCATATACTTGGCGGTTTCTTCCTTTTTTTATTTTTATTTTAATTTTTTTTACTGCCTTTATATATCTCTTGACCCCTCCCAATCTGAGCTGACTGTTATCTCTCATTCATAAATTAAAAATAGAAAAATAAAAAATCTTGAGCTGTTTTTTTTTTTTTTTTTCTGCTGACACTTTTTCTTTCTTCAATTTTTTTATTTTAATTATTTTGGTTTTGTAGTGAACTGACGTGTGGGACTGGGGCTGCCTAACATGTGGCACATGATTGAGTGGTTATTCTATTAAACTTTCTTCGCTGAAATTAATTTCACCAAAAAAAATTTCCCCTTTTCTCTACAGTGAAACCCTTAAGGTCGTTTAGTTTGTGTGAGTTTTTAATTTGAGTTAAAATATAATTTTATATTAGAGTTTTTCATTATAATAGAAAAGTTAGATGTAATTATTTCTGAGAGTTTTTTACTGTAGTAAAACTCGAATTCTAAACTCAAATCAGTGAAATGAACAGGACCTAAAAAAATTTACAAATAGAATATTTTGTTTTGATTGTTAAATTATATTTTTAACAATTAAGTCTACAGAGAATAATTTTGTGCGACGTACTGTAAATTTTTAACACGAACATACACTGATCTAACTGTTAAAAACTTAATTTAACGGTCAAAATAATTTGTTCTACCGGTGGGTTTAAAAATGACTAAAAGGAGTGGAGAATTAGGCCATTGAATGTTCAATCTTTTTTATCAAATTCTTTCCTTATATAGGTTTTCTCTAAGGTAAGACTCCCTAAAAAATCCTCTAGTGGAACGCATTGTTTTGATCGTTGGATTACTTTTTCATGGTCATATCTGCAGAGTGAGCAACTCTTTGTGGTGTACTCTAAATATTTAATACGGACTTGTACAAATTTAACCGTTGAAAACTTAATCCAACAGTCAAAACAAAGTATTTCACTTGTGGGTTTTTAAAGAGTCTCATTGTGGATGCTCCTATAATTTTTAGTCTAATGTTTAGAATCGCAGTATTCTTGTTATCTTGTTTTTCTCTTTTTGTAGGGATTCAATTGCGCTAAGAAAAGAGGAAAAAAATATTTTTTGGTCATACCCTAATATGTTTGTAGGGATTCTAGAATGTAAACACTTGATGAAATGAAATCAAGTATAAAATTGAACAATTTGTACTCCATTCAGTAATTTCTTATTTTTTCTGTAGTTTATTTTTTATAAACATCTCCTAAATTATTGTCTCAATTGATTCTCAATATTTAGTTTTAAATAGTACGTTATTTTGATTTTTATAATAATCAGACCTAATTCTTATTTTAGAGTTCCGTCTAAAAGTAAATAAAAATTCATTATGCAACTGTTATGCGGGATCACTTTTAAATCATTCCCTTTTTTGAGGGTTAATCTCTATGATCATTTTCAAAATTGCATTAAAATCAAATAACTTAACAAAATCTAATAAAAATAATATTTATGGCACTAAAAAATCAATGCAAATTAATGTTAATATATGCCATTTATCTCACCGATTCAAATTTTGTTACAATAAAAAATTTTTAAAAACAGTCACATCTAATTTTTTTGTTACAGTAAAAAAATTTTATAATAAATCACATCTCAATTTAAATTAAAATCTCAAATCACTGAACTAAACAGACTTATAATATCTTGAAACAAAGATGTTGAACGGCTCCTCCGAACCGCACTGCAGCTCCTCAGACACGTAGGGTGGGCCTCATGCCCTGCGAAATCCACGAGCCTACATTATGTATCTGAGGAGCTGAATGGCTCCGCGGAGCGGTTTGGCAATGCTCATCCAAAAATGCCAAAAATAAGCATAAGGTAAGGAGTGATTTGAGACTTGAGAAGGTCCAACGAGTTTCTTCATAGTTCATCCTTCCCAACTTGCCAAGAGTCACCAGCTGCTGACCCACTGGATTTCAAAACATAAATAAATAAAATAAAATAAAATAAAATAAACCAAATAAGGAAAAATATTTACAAGCAAAAAAAAAATGCAAATATAAAAGAACGCCAAGTCTCATCAGATCTCGACCAGCCGCGGGTTTCTCATCAACTAGCCGCACTCTGTCTCTGACTTTTCGTCTCTTTCATCACATTTCTTTTCTTTCCTTTTTTTTTTCTTTCAAGAACACTTGTCGTCTCTTTCTAGTTATATGATATGAACCTTCCTTTCATTAAATTCTTTCTTTTCTACCCACTGGTTCAATGAACTTGCAATTATATTATTACTAATCTTTTCCTTTCTTTATTCATCATAAGATAAGATAAATTTTTTTTTTCCTTAAAAAGACAAAATAAAGTGAAAATTTTTAATGCATTTTAATCACCTGCACGCTCTGGCCTTTTGTCCATTTGGCCATTATTTCTTAGTTTAATAGTGTCAATTTGGATAGTTTGTACTTTGTACATCCCATATGATCGACAATTTGTTCTAATATATATATTTTCTTTTGATAAGAATAGTCCTAAACCAATTCTTACCGAGTAAGCAATACCTAACAAGAAAAGGCCAGAAAAACATGAATTTATATTTGAATTTTTTTCACTCCTAACACAATCAGGCTTTTCGCCATTCAAGTTATTAAAAATGAGTTAAAGTCAAGAGATTTTTCTTTTCTTTTTTTACCGGCAACAATTCTCTGTCATAACTCATAATAAGTGCACTGGTATTGGTAGGCTTATTCGAGACTTGTCTGGCTCTGTTCTTGGTGCGTTTGCAAAACGGCTGGTTGGCCAATTCTCCCCTTTCGCTGCCGAATGTTTGGCCATTCGGGAGGGCCTGGTTTTTGCAAAGGACAGTGGCCTCAGAGTTTCTCTTTTTGTAAGTGATTCAACAAATGCAGTAAGAGCGGTTTTTTTTTGCGGTTCATAATTTATTTTCTTTTTCCTGCAAAATTTTTAATTTTAAATGGCATTAAGATCTTGATGGATGAAGTCGATGGTGGTTTATATAGTCATATTTTTCGTCGTAATAGGGCTGCCTACACACTAATAAAATTAGTTTTTTCGTAAGATGAAGATCGTTATTAATTAGATGAATATCCTAATTGTATTGTTGATTTTGTAAGTGTCGATATGGCTTCTATTTTCTAACTCAACTCATTCTAAACTTCAAAATATATATATATATATATATATATATATAATTAAAGAAAATGGTATAACAGGCCAACAATCGCCTTTTGTGATTGGCAAAAAAAAAGATTAATTTATTTTGTTGAGTTCTGTCTGGATCTTTCTTTTGTTGGAGTAAACTCCAATGAGTTCTTCCAAATGTTGCAGTGTATATCAAGTGTCTCAGGGGAATACGAAAGTTGTAATCAATGAGCTAACTGAACACACAAACTGACTTTTGGATAATTTAGCTGATAATTAGTGGATACAGACTCTCCCATATGCATGTAAAACACACACAGTCCAATAATAAAAAATAAATAATAAAAACCCAAATATATAGACGTACACATATATATGCTCTGCGAGGACTATTGTTTCTTTTTATAATAATATTAGTTGAAAAATCGTTTAAAACAACCATTCTTACCGATAATTAAAAAGAAGAGTCTAAAATTATTAGTACTTCATTTACTAAGCAAAAGAAAGCAAAGGAAACCAAAAGACAACGACACAAAGTTGTGGCAAACTTCATACCATTTCTTCCCTCCAATCCCTCTTTGCCTGCATCAACTTTCTTCCCAACATAAAATAAAAATAAATAAATAAAATAAAAAAGGAAATTTCAAACAAACTTCCTCTAGTTATTTCTCTAAGATGACCAATTCTTCAAAGGATTCAGCAAATCATAATTCCTATCAAAGGCTTCGAATGAGAATCCCTTCAAAGGTAATGCCAGGACCAAAAGCCAGACCAAACCCCCACTCTTCACTCCCTTCTCTCTTCAACTCTTCTCTCATATTCTCTATTACATACAAAATGGTGTTGCTGCTCACATTCCCATAATCCATCAGTGCCCTTCTACTACTCACCAGCTTCTCACTCCTCAGCTTCAGACAACTCTCCAGCTTGTTCAAAATCGCGGGCCCGCCGGGATGAACCGCCCAGAACAGCTCGTTGTACTCGAATTTCAGCCCGGCTTTCGCCATTAGCTTCTTGCAGAACTCCTCTATGTTATCCTCAATCTTCTGAGGAAGGTCTCTCCCTAGCCTGAAGTTTATGCCCTCCTCAGACAGCTTCCCATCTATGACATCATGTGTGTTGGGCAAGAACTGTTGGACGGCGGAATTCAGCTCCATGAAGGGCGATTCCAGGTCGGTTATCGGGTCTGCCCCGATGATGACAGCTGCAGCCCCGTCCCCGAAGAGCGCGGCTCCCACTAGGTCGTAAGGGCGGGACATGTTGGGGGGGCGAAATCCGAGTATTGTTGTCTCCGAGGTGGTCAGCAAGACTCGGCTTCCAGGGTTGTTCTCGGCGATGTCCTTGGCGACTCGGAGGCCAGTGACTCCACCGTAGCAGCCGAGGAAGTAGAGCATGACGCGGCCGACGTCAGTGCGCAAGCCAAGCTGGCTGGCGAGGTGGAGGTCGCCGCCGGGGAGGCGAATCTCGCTGGAGGAGACGTAGACAATGTGGGTGATGTCTTGGGGTGGCCTTCCCCATTCCTTGATGCAGGCAAGGCTGGCTTCCTTGGCCATCTCTACCACTGCAGGGTTGGCTATCTCCAGCCTTTGATTAATGGTTGGAGTCCCTTCTCTTGCTAATTCAGGGTATTTTTCTAGAATGTCCTTGCACATTACTGTGTATCTTGTCTTCACCGTTGTAGTTTTGCCTAGCAAATAGAGAGAGGAAAAACAATGAAAAATTATGGGGGAATAATTCAGATGTCACTGTTTATCTACTTGTTTTTTCCTGCCTTAGTACTGAAAATCACACAGAAAAAAAATAAAAAATAAAAAATGTGTGACAAGAAGAGTCCTGACACACGCGCTACATGAATCAAGAATGTTAAATGTCGTGGGACTCATAAATTTCCAACTTCATTGAATGACTTTCTTTCCCCTTGAATTGAAATGGATCAAGGATACTTTTGTAATTTTCTATCCGTAAAACAAGTCAACGCTTGAAATGGAATGGCACTGTTTTTAATTTTAGTTCCTAATAAGTACTACAAAACATTTCCTAACATATAAAGTAGTGAAATGATAATTTCCATGCTAATTACTAGCTAGAAAGTAGTTTAGCTTACACAGGCGCTCTAGTTTCTCCTTAATGGAGGCATCTTGGCAATTTGTGTCCCGAATGTAGCCTTCAACTAAGCATTCCTGAGGAATGAGTTGGCTAGGGAAGGCCTTGCCTATTGCAAGAATAGTCGCTCTCCCCGGGGTCGGAATGCGCCTAGGCCTCGGAGCTTCACTGCCTTCAACTCTTGACATCTTGTCTTTAGGAGGGATTTATGTTAAGCAAAATGCGGTATGGTTTCTAATTTGATGAAAGCTTGGTGGGATTTTTCATACACTAGCATGGGGGAATATAAATGGGGGCAGCTTGGCTGGTTCTTGGAGAGGAGTTGGTTTGCATTAAATTTAAAGGCATTCATGTAAAGAGAGGATTTCATAATTTATTGAGGTTTGGTATTTTTTGGGTTGATGGGGTTCTACGTGTGACTTTTAGGATATTTCTTTTTTTGGTAACCCAATTATAATTTAAACCATTCCCTCAAAGGAAAAGAAAGACCGTGACTCTTTAAAGAAGGCACCATAAAGGCACAAAGGGAGTGTGTAGGAAGATCTATATCATGTACATATTTATTTGAATATAGTTTCTGGATTATCTGCACATGTTAACAAGTAAAGCACCGGTATAACATGATATTCTTGTGAAGGGGGGATGGGAATGAAAAGATCGTATGCTTTCACTCCCACTACTGTCAAGTTGAAGCAACAGGACCACTTTGAAAATGCACAAAATCATTCAACTCATAAAACACTTCCGTGAATGACCATAATTCACATACCTAAATTTTTTTTTATCGAGATTTAATTGTTGTGACTGTTAAATCAAATGAAATGACATTGATGTCCGGAAATCGCACCAAAAAAAGAGAGAGAGAGAAAGAAAATAAACAAAAAAAATTTGGGACTCTTTACGGTGCAACTCCCATTTTTATTCCACCGGTGGAGCACAACATTTTTACCGTTAGTTTAATTTTTCAACAGTCAGATTTGCAACAAAAGCAGTTATGTATGACCTGCTGTAAATTTTTAAGACGGATCTGCACAGATCTGACTGTTAAAAAACTAATCCAACAGTTAAAAATAGTGTCGAATAAAAATGGGGGTTGCACCGTAGAATTTGCCAAAAAATTTAAGCAAGCATGATCACTCCACCAGAGACTGGTTCACAGAGAGGAAAAATCACAGAAGGAGATGTGAACCTGAGGTTAACATTTTCTTCGATAAAGGGTCCAAAGTCAGCTACATCAATAGGCTTTTATATGAGTAAGCCATCCATAAATATTATGTCATTTTTCTTCCCTAAAAATCTAGCAGTTTGCTCATGTAACAAACGTGGTGTACAAAGAGAGTTTTGAAAACAGAAGTGCCCAGATGAAATCAAGCAGAAAACTGCTGAAAAATCGGCATCTCAATGCTCAAAGTTAAAAGAAAAAAATTCAGGTGTTTTGGTCTACACGAATATGACCTCAAACTTGGTGCAGGGATTGCTTTCGACATGACTTCTGAAGTCATTCCCTTTGAATCTGAAGGTATACAGAGCTTGCCTCTGTGTCAAGCCGACAGGATATATTCGGTATACTTTGAGTTCATCCCCTCCTCTTATGCTTTCTGGTCTTTCCTGTTTCCAAATGGGGATGTGTTTTTGAGAATTGAACTTAGTCAGCACTGCAGATTCCAAGGCCTCCAAAGTCAGATTCCCAGACCTGCCCAACAAAATCCCGACGTATAAAGTTACTCCTGATTGAAACTGGAGGACGGTTTACAAGACATCTGAACTCTACATAGACGATATAATATAATCTATGATCCCGTTATTCTATATGCATGAAAACAAATATCTCGACATAAATGGGGCCACGTTACTAACATACACTTCCTTTTCTTTCAACACAAGAGCAGCAATACAATCTTCCACCCAAAAAAGAAAAGGAAGGAGAGAGAAGGAGGGAGAGCTTCCAGAAACAATCTCTCCTTTTCCCCCTTTTTCACTTCATCTTCCTTTTCCCCTATCATTCACTTAAGCAGAAAAGAAAAGCAACAATTCTCACTCTTCTAGAATAATCACAAAGTCACCGAGTATGCAATGAGACTTCTTGTACATACAAGAAGTACAAGAAGATGAAAGGTTACCTTAAGAAGATGGATTCCATCTTAAATCTTCCCCTTTCTCGTACGTACAAGTGATATACAGTTTCTAAGCCTCTTGTGCACTTGCACGGTCGTTTCTTGAACCTTGCGCTCTTTTCTTCTTCTGCTTGAATTGAAGTTGCCAGGTGAATACAAAGTCGGCATGAAGAATGTACAGCTGCCATATCTACAAGGGCCTTGAAAGAGTCGGATGGACCCTCATACTTCCACCTAACGCATGAAAACTCATTGTTAATTATACCAAGAAACCAAATAGAAAATGGAATTATGCTCCAAAATTATCTCAAAGAAAAAGAAATAAAGAAACAAACATCATATAGAGCTGCAATGAACAGAAGATTTTCGTTTACTTCTTTTACTGCTTTTCTTTTTTAATTTCATTAATATGGTGAATAGCTTACCGTAATGTCTGATTATATGCCCCGGGATTTTCTGAAAGGTATTTCATTCTCTTCGCGACTGAGTCGACATCACTTAGCTCCTTAATATGCAAAATTGAACCAGGAGCCGGAGCAAAATCTTGAATATTAGGAGCACCAATAACAACAGGCACAGATCCTGAAAAGTTACAAAAGGAAGGAGACAACGTCAATATCCTCATTGTGTAGAAAAATTTATTCTTCACAATTGAAAATCTAACAATAAGTTGATACATGCCAAAGGCCAAACGTTGAAAATTTAAAGTCGAGGTATATGCAACTGTTCCTCAATCATGTAACGTGGTCCCAAATTTGCCTCTAATCGGTCCAATATAAAACCATAATTGGCTCACAAGATATGGTTATTTTTTTTTATTTTTCTCTTTCCCAAGATATTTTAGACTTCAAAACAAATTTCAAATATTTACTCCAACTGGATTTTGCAATTACACCGATGGGAATGATGGAGAAATTGAGGTAAGAATCAAGCAAACAAGAGCAAATATTGAGAGAGAGACAGGTGGGAAGAAAAATAGTTTTCATACCAGCAACAAGCGACTGGAAAAATTTCTCAGTAACATAATCCTCCTCGTTAGAATTTTCAAAAGCCAAACTGAACTTATAGCGCTTCAGAGCTTGTACTTTGTCCACTGCAAGATATACATCGGGAAAAAAAAAATCATTTATTCTACACGAATCTCTGCTGAAAAAAAAAAAAATTGTAACACTGGCCATAGGAACAAGCTACATTATATCAGTTCCTACAACCAGACGCTATGGTTCAAGTCCCAGGGGGACGTAATTAAAAAAATAAGAATAAAAAAGACATGCATACAATAACTATAAGAAATCCAAATTCAAGATTTAACAATAGAGAAAGACAGCAGTCACATATGTCGCAATCTATGGAAGAAACTGCACCTTTTCCATCACGGTTTCTGTGGCAACCCCCATACGAATCTATCTTGATGTTTGCCTTTTCAAGTGCTTCAAGACCTTGCAAGCGGAAGTTGCGAGCACCACAGTTGGAAATAAATGCAGCAGCAAGGGCTTTCTCAGTCTTTGGCTGCACTGGTGCCATGATATCATACTCAGCCCATGAAAAGTATCCAACAGGAACATCTGATGAGAGACTAGTTGTCATAACAATATTATATCCCCTCCTAATACACAGGAAAAATTCGGAAATTAGCTTTGCTAACAATTTTTGGCAGAAAGTAGGAGTTCGGCAAAAATAGAAGGTCCAAAGAAAATAGCCAAAAGGAATTGATTGCAAAGAGGCACACAAATTCGTCCCTTTTTTATCTTTGACGGAAAATTATCCAAGTTGACTGTCATAGATAAGCATTTTCCAAGTTGATTGTCATAGATAAGCACTTTTGCTTATAGCTAACCGACACAACTCTAACTACTAACAAATCTAATATTAGCCTTGTGCATCCTCATATGTAGAATATGCCCATTGTTATATGGCCTACAATAGGAGTATGCGTGTATTTAATCAATATAATGATCAAATGATGATGTTGCATTTGTGTTAATAACTGGTTGCAAATTATTTAAAAAATGAACTCTGCAGAGATTTTTCCAAAACTAAAGAAGTTTTAAAGAAAAGGGGAAAAAAGGAAATTTGACAACTAATAGAGCCCTAAACTAACTGGATATAAGCAAGATGCAAAACATATATCTTATTCTTCTTAACCAGAAGTTTTCAAGAAAAGAAGGGGAAAAAAGGAAATTTGACAACTAATAGAACACTAAACTTGTTTCAAGATGAACAAACTGGATATGAGCAAGATGCAAAACATATATCTTATCCTTCTTAACCAGTGTTATTTCAGACCAAAAGCAGAAAAGTCTTTTAAACAAAGGATATCCCCCAAAATGCAAAGAAGTTGATATTAGATTGTGCTTACCCACCGTCGTGCCTGATCAATATTATTCTCTGCATAGTATTGAGAAGATTCCATTGATCTAAGAACGCTAGCTGTTCCCTTTTGTTGAGGTGAACCAAAAGCAGCATCAGCCTTCTTACTTTGATCGAACCCAAAATGACATCCGACGGCACAAGAACTCCACTCCTATACAACAGTGAGTAGAAAGAAATAATTTACACAAAGTCTACACAAGCACAAAAAATCAGATGCTTCAAAATACTTCTCTGTTGTCTCTCCTAAATTAGTCAGTTTTAGCTACAACCAAACTTTTAGTTGTCTCCGGAGATGGGGAGAGCTCTATTCAAGTTGACAAGTAGTATATTTTTTTTATATTTCCTATTCAAGTTGACAAGTAGCATAAAAGACGTTGAGAAAATTGAGAATAGTTGAAACGGAGAGTTGAAAGAAGATTTGCAAATACAACAAACGAAAGGTTTAGATTTCACCATTGACCAATGTTGAACCTATCAAATCAAAGGTTTTAGGCCCAACACCAAGATTTCAGTTAAGTTATGCTACAGAACAAAAGTATTCATGAGTTATTGTTTTTTTATTTCCCATTTGCATTCACTTTACACTCTTCTGAGATAAAACCTAACCAAAACTAAAACTGACAACGTTGAAGATCAATCAATAAGCAAAAGCTGCACACAATGCGCAATAACGGGACAGAAAATTCCATGGTATGGCACAAAAAAAAAATAAAAATACCCATCATCAGTAATACATATTCCTGACTTGTCCGATTTTCATCGAATTCCATTAGAATAACAAATTGTTTGATCCAATATGATTCTCAATATAATTATGCAACATAAAATTCCTCCATTAAATTTACAAATTGTTTGATCCAATATGATTCTCAATATAATTATGCAACATAAATTTCCTCTCATTTGACATGTTACCTTACGTTTTGAAAATCATGCTAGTGAAACCCATCGCACAAAGTCCTTGAAAAGATTTTAACTTATCGAAAGCACCAAAAAAAAAAAAAAAAAAGTGCAATTAATCCGAGTTCAAATTACTTCTTTTCACTAATAACATGACAGTTCAACAACTAAAAACTATGTCAACAATTCCCTCTGTTCATATCACATTATCATCAACAAGTAAAGAATACATACTAAGTTTTAACTAAATTACTATTTGAAGAAAAGAATGAAGCAAATTAATATTAAAAGAAAAAAGAAAACAGAAAAAAGATATGCATGTACCTGGTCAGCACCAGAAACCAAAACGGGTTCCTCGGAAAAATCCCTGGAGTACTGTACGGAGTCCTCTCTTTCCAACCACTTCTCGCAACCCTCGAATTCCGAGCTCCGATCACCGCCGCCACCGGCGAGCCCATCGAGGCCCAAACCCCCGATCGCAACATGGACCTCCTCGTCGTGGGCCGGCGGGGCCCGGTAGAACAAGTCGGCCCAGGAATCGACCATGGCGGCGTTCTTGACCATGTCGAGACGGCCCAAGAAAGCGATCTCGGAAATCACGACTAAAGCCACGAAGAAAGGCATGAGGTTCGACCATTTCCTCTTGCTCGCCGCCGCCGAGACGCCGGTCGAGACCGGTAAATATACGCCCTCCTGGCTCGTCCCTGTTCTCCAGCTTCTCTGGTTCCCAAATATACCCATCGAAGATCAAAGTTTTCTTTCCGCCGCCGAGACGCCGGTCGAGACCGGTAAATATACGCCCTCCTGGCTCGACCCTGTTCTCCAGCTTCTCTGGTTCCCAAATATACCCATCGAAGATCAAAGTTTTCTTTTTTTTTTTCCTTTTTGGTTTTTGATCTTTCTTTCCCGGAAAGTGGGAGAGAAGAGAAAGAAAGACCGAAAACTTTTTTTTTTTTTTTTGGTTCGTTTGTTTGTTAGAATCTACCGGTCTAATACAGGCATTGTTTTGTGGGTTTTGATGCGTTTTGTCTACTGAACATGAAGGAAAGAATAGTAATGTTGATTTTTGTAGGGCAAAGACTACGGAGGTGGTGGAGACTTGGTACTATAAAATATTGAATATTCAATTTGGTCTTTTGTTGTTAAAAAAAAAATGACGCAATAAAAGCTACTCTAAAATTGGCTAGGGTATCTACGCCATAGTAGATTAGTACTAGTATAAGTTGTTTGGTTTGTATTTAATCTGCATTTGACTATTATACCATTTTATAGAGGTAGTTATTGTATTTAATGTGTTAATTTGACTATATAAATTTCCAACTGTTCAATTAATCACCAATTAATTCTAATTAATTAAATGATTAACTGATTAATTCTAATTAATTAATAATATATCTGGTTGTCTGGGATAGAATTATCTTTTTATTCATATTTCAAAAAAAAAATTGTGATTTGTTTCAAACCTTTTTATAAAAGTAGTAGAATTAAATAACACTACTACAAAAATGTATTTTCCTAATTGAACCGTATTTATTATGTGTATGTTTATCGTGCAAAGTATTTTCATGTAATTTGTATATTGTATATCCCTTCAGTAAGGTTTAAATAAATATTAATCATTTATTGAAGTCTTTTGTGAAAAAGAAAAAAAAAACACTTATTGGAGTTCGATGAATAAGATTAGCGTATGAATAATAGGTTTCTGAAATTGCATTTTAAATATGACTTTAGAAATTTGTTGAATGGTTTTAAAATGTGATTTCAAATAACTATTATTTATTTATTTTATTTTGCGAGATTAGAAAATGGAGCCAATGAACCCGCAGAGGAATTTGGCTTTATGAATAAAATATTTTGGTAATGCCAAGGTTGATTCACCAAACACAAAAGGGTAGGAGTTGCCCCGAAAAACCTCGTTTCCCTTCAAGAAAATAAAATTCAAGTTGGTCGATATTAGAATTTCTTTTTAAAAATAAGCATACAATTAGAAATGTTGAAAATTGAATGGCACTTAAAGTTTTCATACGAAAATTCAGGTGTTATGTGAGAACGGAAAAATAAATAAATAAATAATGGTGGCATGTGCCCCAATACTTTTTCTTTATCTACCAAAAAAAAAAAAAAAAAAAGGGCGCACGACTCCTTAGTCAAGCCATTTCATTTTCGGCCCTTGAACTTATGCTCTTCTTTTTACGATCACGTGCACAAGGAGCGCTACTTTTCTACATTGGATGCGGTGATAATAGGAGAATTATTTTATCACAACAAATGTCTCAGATCAAAAAAATATTTAAAAAAAAAAAAAAAAAAAAAAAAAAAAAAAAAAAGCGCTTATAGTTAACAAAAAGATCTGTTTGCAAATAATTATTGAAAGTACATTAAAACCTTAGCTGTTGAGTTTTATCCTATTGATTTGATGTTTTTTTATCACAAAATTAAACACACTATTTTCCTAAAAAGGAAAGCTCCAAATCTTGTCTGAGGTTCACATCTTTTGGGTGGATTTTACGGCGTGATAATGGTACGGTTCATGTAATTAGGACAGGTCCTTTTTTTTTTTTTCTAGTTAAAAGAAGAGTTCTAAAACTTGATATACATTAATACACCCATAAGTTTGGGTGGCCTTTTGAGGATGCATGCTTGAAAGTCGGCAGAGATCTCAATGGCAAATATTTCCAATTAATATGATGCTTGGAATTTCGTGTATTTCAATGTTGATAATGTCGAATAATATCATAATAATTGAAAATGCTACGTCTGCGAATGAGACTGCAATGAGAGAGGAAATTTATTCCACCTCTAGTATATACAAGCTTATGTAACTTAATCCCTCTATCAAATATCAATATATTATACCTTGATACTCGCATTTTATTCATTTTAAATTGGAACTAAGTAATGCTCTCAGTATTTTCAAATAATAAAAAAAAAAGTAATGCTCTTTTAGTCTAATTTTTTAATTTAATTGGCATGTGAATTGTTATTTTTTTTATTGGTATTTGTTTAAAAACTAGATGATAAATATGCATGCACACGTGCTTTCATCCTGAATGTACTAGAAAATCGTTGAAGAGGAGATTATCCTATTGTGGGGTTAATATACATTTCTATACTACTATCTAAATATTAAAGCTAAATAGCAAATCTGATGCGAATGTAAAAAGGTAGATATTCCTTGGCGAAAGTACCTTAAAGATTCACCACATCAATTTGTGGAATCTATAATCTAGAAACTCAATAGTATGACTCAATATTGCAAAAAACAAAAAATAACAAAACAAACAAAACAAAATTCAATAATATGATCTGAATATTGCAACTATCTGAATCAAGAAATAATAATAATAATAATAATAATGTGTGGTTTCAGGTTTGTCAACTTGGATAAGGTATAAAATTGATGAAGAACCAAACATATACATACAAAAGAAAGATGTGGACCGCAACAACATGACTCATTCCCGCCTCAGCTTCAGGACACCTACAAACTTGCAATACATCCAACAAATTGACTTCCCATCTTTTAGATCTACTAGGTGTTTCTTCTATCAGAAACGTATTCAGTAGCAAAATTTGAAGGAACTGAAGATGAAAAGGAAAACTTGTGTCCAATTACTAACCGCCCTTCCATTTATCAATTCCATCTACCCTATAGATCTTGTGCAATCAATCTTACTAGCTATTGGCGTATATAGCCCAATATATACAAAATCTTTCCCAATTAACTTTTGCACAAGGCTTAGAGCAAACATCACTGCGGCAGCATCATTTCCACCAGGAGTTTCACTGCAGAATAGCTACTCGTCTTTGTCATTGCGTCGTCTCTCTCCACCGCAAGAAATAAGGAGGTGTATCCGATTCGGAGACAGAAGTCAGCTCCCTTTCAAAAAATAGGAATATCAGATTTTGGGCAGACAAAGTCCTCCGGATGATCTGAAAGCAATGCATTACGTCCTTCTTCTTTGGTACAAAACATGTTATTGCCAATTGAAACACCTCTTGCGTGGAAATTCTCTGGTAACATAATCTGAAAGTGCTCAGACAAAAAGAGAGGGGGGAAAAAAAAGTTAGTTCTCCAACAATCCCGGTTCTATGTAATTAATATCTAAATATTGGATAATTGGTAAGCCTGCCAAGTACAAAGAATAAAAAATTTATCCCCAAAATTATGTTTCACGGCTAATATTAATTACTTGATCGTTGCCGGAACCATCACTTGCAGCCATCTTCAACCTTTTCGACATAGATTTGCGGCTTGGGTTTCCTCCAGGGTTGTCCTCAACAAAGTTCTGATCAGAAAACTCTGCAGAAAAGATACAATTCAAAAAGAAGAAACCATGACATGACATGAATAACTATAATCATTACCATCTACTGCCCCTGTAGCTAACAAAACCTGGGTATAAACAACAACCACATTTTATGAGCTTCTCAGCTGCCTACACTACGTTAAAAGTAGTTGTGTAGTGGTAAATAAGTTGAAAGGACTACCTCATTAGCGGGGGGGAGGGGAGTTGAAATAAATGAAAGACTCATTTTTCCAGTGCCCCGAAAAAAATAGTTAACATGTTCGAAAGTAAAAATAATCCTAAGGATTCACAAAATGGAAGCAAAGTTCTGCAATACTTTTAATCTTTATTTCCTCTTTTCTTTTCTGACACAAGCTATATAATCTTATTGGCAACATAATCAAAACAAAACGTATCTCCTGGAACTAACAGCATTTAACCTTCCTATCCTAATCCACTAACAAACTATACCACATTCTGAAAAACTAACAACTTTATTAAATATATTGATAGGACTTGTTAATCATAGGCTTTGGACGTTAGTTTGGTTAGTAGGCTGTTAAGAGTATGATTAATAGACGTATTAGAGTGTAACATATTAGTAATCATTGTTAGTGGTTTGTTAGAGGGCGATAGAGTGTAACATATTAGTAATGATTGTTAGTGGTTTGTTAGAGGGGGATGAGTAGTATGAAGGGGGAATTAGCAGTTAGTGAGGAATTATGGACGTATTAGTGGGAAATTGGAGAAACCAGAGGGGAAGTTGGTGGTCTCCCGAGTACCATCATTGGTATTATTTGTTGATTGTACTGCAGTTCATCTATCTTCTTCAATAAAGATTTAGTCTTCTTCGCTCAATTTCTCTGTTTCTAGTTAAGAGTATTATTATCTATTCACCTAAAAGAAACGAAAAAGAAAAATAACTTTATTAAATATGTCGCAGACCCCATGATCCAATCAGCATTTTTAGTTTATGATGCAAAACTGTCCGCACATGCTGACAGTTGATACATAAACATGTAGTAACAGTATCGTAAACAATATTGCATCCTAATTCGTCATTCAGATGCAAGAGAAAACAAGACACTGAGCAGTCTGCTGATATATCATTCTGAATTTAATGAATAATGAATATGCTGAATGTAGTACAAAGATAAAGCAATATATACACGGTTACAACCTGCAGTAAGTAAATAAACAAATAAAGGAATGCATGCAAGTTGGAAGAATTTGAATTTCCAGTTGAAGGATGAAAGGACAACGATTTAGATTTTTTAACATAAACATCCTTCAAAAAGAATAAATAAATAAATAAATAAAGGAGTGCATGTAAGTTGCAAGAATTTGAATTTATAGTCAAAGGAGACAAGAGTAAGTGTGACAAAACATTGCAAAGGCCAGATTCACTGAAATATTCCAGCACAACGTGAATTTTAGATGAGAGTAATCAGTCGTTTTGTTAATGCTTCAGGCCTACATGATTAAAATGCAAAAGACTTGTTAACCTAGGACGAGTACAACATGAAATTTTATGCAGGGGGTGTAGGCGGTAAACCTCACGTAGTCTTAATACATGGAATGCGTACTTAGGTGATTGTGCAAGTCCCTTCAATAAAATAGAACTGCACCCTACAGGAAAACCTCGAAAATGCATGCACAAACAAGACTAGAGAGAGGAGAGAGAGAGAGAGAGAGAGAGAGAGAACATCTACAAACGAGAATAAAAGCTTGGAAGAATTAAGCCGAAAGAACATATATCTAAGAATAGAACACTAAATCAAGAAACAGTTTTCAGTGCCATTGAAGTCAATGAGATACCTGCAGCGCTTCCAACTATATCCCAATGGCATTTCCGATCTACAGGCTTTTGCTCCAAACTTCTTGCTGATTCATATAAACATGCCAGCTTCCCGTTTGAGTGCATTTTATTTTCACGCAACACAACATGTTCTTGAGAATCAAGACATGCCACAGAACAGCCTTTTCCTGGATATTTGAAATGATGAATTAATGGCCTTTCCATCACTACATGAGAGTCAGCTGTACTGTCAAACAAAGGTTCATTCCTCTCATCATTGATCTTCTTGCGACCTCTATCCTCACGCACCACAAACTGAAACATTTGACAAGGTGACCATCAGTTGAAGAAGGGAAATGAAAATGACGATCATGAGAGCAGAAGCATGAAGATTTTTGGCTGTCAAACCTTGTCAGAAGTATATGGTCTCCGCGAGTTCTTTTTCACACCCAAGCCACCCAAGTGCATTGAATGATATAAATCATCTACAAATGATGCTTCTAGATAATCAAGATACATACTGTGTTTCTCATCTGTCCATTCTGTGGATTTTCCCTGCTATGTAAGACAATAAGGGCTAAATATATTATACCAAAAGGGGAAAACAAAAATGAGCTCCTCATTAGATTTAGTTTGATTAATAGGGAAAAAAAATGATTTAAGTAAAAATACAAGTGAGGATGTCCGTGTGATATAAAAATAAAATAAAATAAACACACACACACACACACACACACACACACACAAAAACACAAAAAAACAAAAAACAAAACAAAACAACGATTATCAATTAGCTAACTTTCAGATGTTGAACAGCCTGTTAATAATGCTTCATCGATTTTAGCTTCCTACTTATAAAATAGGGAAGCAGTGCTAGGATTTAGACAAATAGCAGAAACCTACTTCAAATATATATATATTGTGTGTCTATAGATATATATATATATATATATATATATATATTCTTCACTATCTTTTCAATACATTCATAAAATAGCATTTTAGACATCAAGTCTCCCGTATTCTTCTATCTTTTCTTTTTCTCTCTTCTGCCATGTTGTCCTAGGCAAGCATAAGTCTAAGACTCTTGTTCAGCTCATTAGTTTTACCACAGTCTTTAATTCTATATCCAAATGCATCTACCAATCTACGTAAAAGAAACTTCACAGATCATTCCATAAGAATAGCAGATTTCACACTTTTAACAATTGGAAGCACATATTCCAAAAGACTAGGGTTGTGTTTGGTAAGAGCCAAAAAAGGAAAGAGAACAAGAAAGAAATAAAGAAAATGACTTATGTGAAGCAAATGGAGAGGAAGAGAGGACCTTCATCTCATTATTTTTCTCATGGATTCCCTTCTCTAACACCTCCATATTGAGAGAGATTATTATCGGAGTTTTAATTTTTTTTCGAAGGATTTGAAATCCCTTACCAAATCCATTCCCTCTTTTTTTTTTCCTCTCCTATCAAACAATCATGGTACAAAAATCCTTCCCTTTCCCCCACCCTTTGTCTCTCCTTCCACTTTCCCTCCTACCAAACAAGCTCTAACTATCATAGAAGTTAGTAACTATCAATATAAAAAAATTATTGATATAAATTCCTAAAGCTCAATATATGTCTATGGTGCCACAAAGCGCACTATGTAGAGTAGTCGATGCAATGGTTTCGAAAAATCAAAATTTCAAAGTGACACCGCTAGAATTCCAACCTGTAAGGCTAGAATTCCAACCTGTAAGGTTAGAAAGTAGAAATTGAAAGTTTGAAAACAGGATAAAAACTAAGGGAAACAGTGTAAGTCGTTGCCCATTCTCATATTCAATTGTCACATAAATTTCCACGAAACATTAAAATTGAACTAATGCTTTAACCGTAAGAATTGCTAAAGGATCTAATTCAACTGCAAATTCATAAAATCTCAGTGGTTGAAGATAACAATAAACTGAAAACGGTGTTCTACCACTTGCTCTCTTTAACTCTTAAAACTTCGCTGCATTTCTCACACATGAGACCTCTAAGCTTCCTATTTATAGTTCAATATCTTGACTTATTACTATAAATTCATACAGTTCTGGAAAAGAAAAATACATATTTTTTTCAGATAAAAAGTAATTAAAAATTAACAAAATTCGTGGCACGCAGAACGCCACAGTACGATCAAAAGCATAAATGAAAGGAAAATTAAAAAATAAAAATAAAAAGTGCGAATTGTACACAGTACGAGTTACGAGTACAACAAACAATAACAGATTTTGACCACGAAAATAACCGAAATTTCCTTCAAAAACAAAACATCTAGCGAAGAAACCGAAAGAAAAATTAACAACAACAAGCACAAAGCTGGATATTAAAAGAAAAAAAAATAAGAGAGAGAGTCAAGAATTTACCTGCATAGCTTCATCGCAAGGAAGCCAAGCGTCCTTAGAGAAGTCGAGAGTAATGGCGGAGGCGTCCGAGTCGGTCCGAGTCAGCTCGGAGGCGAAGGAGTCCGGCGGGCGGGCGGGATCCGCAGACGACGGCATTGGAATACTCTCCGGCAGATTCTTCGCCGTGTGATTCTCTTCTCCGGCGAGATCAGACAGAGTTGCAGAAACGCCGCGGTGAAAAACTCGGAGAAATGAAAAACGTTTCTTTTTGTTTTTCTTCACCTAAAATTTAGGAGCGAAACCCTCTCATCCAACGAAGAGCCAAGACAAGAGAAGAGAAGAAACCGAGTTGTGGAAGAAGAATGAGGGAGAGAGAGAGAAAAGGGCGGTGTTTTTGTGTTTGTTGGGACAATTAAGGCTCCACATGGCGTCGCTTTTACACGTGTCAGTCTCATCAGCTCAATGCCACGTCATCAGCGATAATATCTTCGGCCAATGTCAGCCAGATATTTTTCCCTCTTTGCCCGAGCCAAAAGGCTCGCTTTTCTATTTTCTTTTTTCTTTTTCTGTTTTTGTTTGATAAGTTTTGTTCTTTCTTTCCTCTTTGCAATTGCTATTACATTCGGAGATCTTTACTCGGGGCGGGATGGACCACGGTATATTCCGTGTGTTGCCGCGCATATGGCAATTATTAGGATTTTTTTTTTTTCTAATCGCATATGTCAATTATTTATTTTGTTTATTAATAGCATAAAAAATTATCACTTGGTTTATTTTTACTACTATTTACTTCAAATATTCTAAAATTTAATTTAATTTTAAAAATCTTTCTATTAATAACAAATACTTACACATACATATTAGTACAATTAATACCAGTTAAATTTTAAAAAAAGGTTATTAATGAGCTAATTTTAAAACTTTTCATTTCAAGCTTAGAGTTATGATATTCAAATTTAAGATCTCGAACTAACGATTGCGTGAGTTTGCGATTATATTAGTTTAAAAGGCATCGTATAATAAAGATACAAATTGTTACTCAATTTTATTGTGCAGATAATGGAATGAGAATTTTACTATGAACACGCGCTTATGTTAATTTGAATATGGTAAGAGTGGATTTCGTGTCGTGTTTTTTACGCTAAAAGGTTGTATAGATTAAATCGATGTTGTATTGTGTTTTCACGTTGTTTAATTGTATTTTTGTTAAAAAGAAGTAGAGAATGATCTCGATATCTTTTAAAATACAGAATAGATTCTTGATTAAAAATTGGGAGATTTTTTTCCTTATCCCATTAAATTTCTAGAACGTTTGAATTAGTCATTTTCTAGGGGATATCCTGCTCGCGTGTTCAACAAGGAAAAGACCAAGACCGAACTCTATAGCCAGACAGGGATGAGACGCGCAACGTGAAAAAAAAAAAAAAAAAACAAAAACAAGATCCGGTGTTGCGCGGCTCACGTGATCGTGTGCGCGAAAAAGCATCGGATGAGTGACTGTCTAATCTTGAATCTCATAAAACTAAAAGGCGTGCGAGGCGTTAGTTAAATGGCCAAAATCAGACAGCGATGCTATCCTATCTAGATCCACTTTCCAATTGGTTGCAATAACCAGCAGATTTTAATAGTAAAGTCGGTATATGAAATTCAGATATTTTCGAGTTTATGTCATGTGATGCTGATGAGAAAGAATAAATATGGGCTAATTAACAAAACGAAAAAAAATAAATTGAAAAGAAAGTACGTATTTCTTAGCTGGATTTGAGATTTGATTCAATAATAAGTAATTATCGTTGAAATTAAGATATACATTGGTGTATATATAGAGTTCGGAGTTCAGATTAATATCTTACATACAAATAGTGCTACTACTATTTGATTGGTTCGCTAATGACAAAATATAACTGCCTCTTATAAGACAAGTCAAAAGATCAAAGATATTTTCGGCAAAAGACGAGTTTTTTGACAAAAATATCCAAGGCGGTGTCTTTTCTTGTTAAATCAAAAGTTAGGTAACAGCTTTTTCGTAAGCAGAAAGATCCCAAGGAACAAAGAATAATGAGTTCTAAATCGGTAGAGCTTTTCTTTAATCTCCTTCCCTTGTTTTGGTAATGTTCTTTGCTTGTTATCTATGCGTAAGATGGAGATCTAGAATCTTCAATGTAATGTCAAATTACAATATCGATGTCAAAATTTAAGGCCCGTTTATTTTACAATTTAAATCACATTTTAAATTTTTTGCTAGAGCATTGTGTATTGCAATGCTATGTTTAATATCACATTTAATACAAAGTGTATAATTACAACAATGTTATTTTAATATATTTAAAAAAATAAATTAAAATTTCTCTTTTTGTAAGTTCTAAAGTTTAATTATACGGAAAAAAATAAACATATTATTTTGGATATCATTATTTATTAGAGTACAAATTAACTAAGAAACATATTTAATATTATCATCTATATATATATATATATATATGAGCCCGTTCATTTCGCAGATTTGAGTTTGTAATTCGAGTTGAGATGTGATGTAAGTTCTAAAGTTTAATTATACGGAAAAAAATAAACATATTATTTTGGATATCATTATTTATTAGAGTACAAATTAACTAAGAAACATATTTAATATTATCATCTATATATATATATATATATATATGAGCCCGTTCATTTCGCAGATTTGAGTTTGTAATTCGAGTTTAGATGTGATTTCGTGTGAGAACTTTTTACTGTAGTAAAAAAGTTAAATATGACTGTTTCTGAGAGCTTTTTACTATAGCAAAACTCGAATTCTAAACTCGAATCAGCGAAATGAACGAGGCCATAATTTATCAAATACAGCATTAACATTTGCAGTTTCATAATGGTCTTTTTTTCTGGTTTGATGGGACTCGCCAACCTTCATGCTACATTGTCCTAACTTCAGATATTTCAATACAAAATTATACTCTCTCCAAAAGGAGCAACCTTATCGGGACAATGCAAAAATAAACCTCTGTTGTTAATTTACTCGGTCACTTCTTAGAAAAACAACGGGCCCCTCTAACCCCACCACCTACGTAGTCGTCAAAACAAGTTTTCTTTTCTTTCTGCTGTTAAAAAAAAAAAAAAAAAAAAAAAAAAAAAAAAAAAAAAAAAAATTCAAGCTCATCCAAACTGCTTAGAGTAACAAGGGCCACACGTATTTGCCCTTTTTGCCGACTCATCCTAACAAAATTTGTGGCATCTCATTCGCATATATCTCATTGTTCCCTGTCTTTTTCATAGCTAAACAGATTTCAGTTTCTGCTGGTTTAATTCCTTTTAGGGGTGGAGGGGGTCAGAGCAACAGAGTTATATTTGTTTTGGCTTGCCTAATTGATTTGATATTTGGTTGTCTTATAGTCATCTCCCTTGAGCAAAGTAAGTTCTTGAATAGTGTTGTTTAAAAGTGAACAAAAACGATCAAAATAGCCCAAATCTTTAATCCAAAGTTTTTCCTTCAGTACTTACAGATTTACTCTATGTTTAGTAGGATAGATAGAAAAAAGAAGGAAAGAAATGTAAAATATTTAAGTAAAAGAAATAAAATAATTTTTTTTATATTGTTTGATAAAAGAACAAAAATTAAAAAAAAATGTTAAATTTAAAATATTTTACATTAATATTTCAATGTAAATAAAAATATGATAAATATTCCTCTCTTTCTCTCTTCAAGCAAGTTAATAAACTGTAAGACCACTATCTTTAAAACAAGAATTTTATTTTTTTCATTACAAAAGAATGGATGTAAACGAGATATGAAAAGAAAAATAATGAAAACACTGTCATCTCCGGTATTCATTCTTCAATATTTCCAACATCTTCATCTGTTAGGGCAAAAAAAAAAAAAAAAAAAACCTCTTTCTTCTGTATTTGACATTTTCATGGTTATCAATTCGCATGACATCAAAGATTATCTTGAATTTTTAGTGGTTATCTTTTGGCAGATTTCTCGGTTATTTGAGCTTTTCATCAAATAATAAAGAAGGTTGAATCTAGATGTTCTTTTTTACTTTTGAGTTTACCTTGGACTTTATCGTCTTTCTGTGTCAATACACAAATTATGTAGTCCGATCTGATTAATAATCGATCATGTGTCTTATGCATTTTTCAGCGCTATCACTGATTTGTTAGGCTCGGTGAGCTATCAACAAAATTATTGATTGACTAATTTTTGAAAAATGACTATTTTCTTAATTTTACGAAACTTGTGACATTTATTAAAACAATACTTTAAACGTCATTATCAATTCTCACATATCTCTTAAATATTTCGTGCCTTTACACAGTAATACTGAACTTTCAATTTCGGCATTTAACCTCTAATATCCTAAAACCTAATTCGTTGCAATTTGACTTAAATTGTTTTCGCCGTTTTTGTTGGTAATGAGAACACCCATATTTGCCTCATATTTTTGATATTTTATTATGAACTTGTCGTGTTTTGACAAATTCTATCAAACTTTTAATTGAGTCCCACCGTAAGAGTTTGACAAGTTTAGCTGTTAAAGGAGTTCATTAAAATTAAAAGTTGAAACAACAATTTATCATAACACAAAGTTTACGGGTCCGGTGGCAATAACCTGATTTTAAAAGATTATATTCATATCTAATTTTAAATTATGATTTATAATTCTCTATAATATTTTTTCTTAAAAAATACACATAAAATAAAAATAATTTTAAATTATAATTCTAAATATATAAACTAAACATCATCAAAATGTCGAAGAGCCGAGGAATAAGGATGAGGCAGTGGTGGACCCAGTGGGCAGGAGGGTGAGGCGGCAATGGTGGGCCCTCGACCCACTTCAGAATATTAGTGCTTTTTTTTTGGACTGGTGAGCATTAAAACTTACGAATGGTAGAAAATAAGTCAATATGAAAAATTTAAGAAAGTATATAAGCTAATTTTTAGTTATAGAAATTAATAGACCATAACTTATTAAGTTATAGTTCATAACCAGATAAGTTATGGACAAACTTATCAAGTTATAGTTCATAACCAGAGAAGTTATGGACAAAAATAGACAATAGATTGTCAAGTTATAGTTTATAACTAGACAAGTTATGGATAAAAACAGTAATTTGACCTATTTATTAACTTATATAAACTATTGGCCTATTAATTTTAATTTATCTCAAATCTTGGCCTATTTTCCTCTTTCTCTCTACAATTTATTTTAATTTTGTTTTGTTATTTATATAAATTTTTCTTGAAGTAACGTTATGAATAATTTTGTTTGAGAAAAATCTATAATAGAGCATAATTATCAGTGTTATGTATTTTTAAATGACAATCTCCCCTCATAATTTTAGTTACCTTTAAAA